TAAACATGTGCACACACACACGAGATATATAAATGTAGAACTATAACGACAGAGAGCGTTGCTAAAATGCAAGTCTAATAAATTTACCAAGATTAGATAACTCTTTAACATTGTTAACACTTAGTAACTGAATAAGTTTGAATACACTAGGACGACGGAAATAGGAAGACTTCAAGTATCTGACTCGTAAGTTTGAATACAAAGGACACTTCAGGATGAAATATCTCCATTATCACACAATGTACAACATCTCCATTATCATACAATGTACAACATCTCCACTATTACACAATGTACAACATCTCCATTATCACACAATGTACATACCCTATTTGTTCTATCGACATAAAAGTATCTTCCACTTTCTATATTAAGCTTGTGTGAAGATAATATAATAGACGAAATACTCTTCTTATACATTTGGTCAATTGGTTCTTTCAAGTAAAATATTGCAAACAAAAATTGTTAACTACATGTAAGTGTTGAAACAATGTTCCTTTGGAGATATTACGTACATACGACTACCTTACAACTTAACGTTTCAACTATTGCAAATGGGCAAATGATGGCTCCTTCCTGACTTGTACAGTTTTATAATCCGTACGTGTTTTTCTTATAGGGCATTATGTACCAGGTTGGTGCTGACGGCTCGTGTCAGAAGTCAAGTCTTGAACAAAACATGACCAGACAATGCATCCTATGTAAGTAAACAGTTTACATATTGAAATTATGCATTTGCATAATATTTACCAATAAAACTGAATTAAATTGAAATAAATTGACACCGCATTTTGAGATTTTATACGGATATTTTTCATTCTGGAACATTAATATTTGAATTGTAACATGGATTTTTAACATGGATTTATACCTATGAGAACGAAACTGAGACGGCCCAGCTTGATAGCTGGATACGAAGACGGCCTTCAAACAGGATTCGGCTGAATATTTTTTTCGACCGATTTTGATACTATCCTTTCTTGTAAACGGTGTAGTACATTTGTAGTTTTTTTCCTTTTAATAATAGTTTTGTCATCGATTGTTTCAAAGATTCAAAGTACTTTGTATTTTAACTATTTCCGTTGTTGAGCGTATAACAGGAATTTTACGTAGCCATATTACACGTAAAGCATTTGCATACAAAAAACCACGTATTTGCATCTCCTACGTGTTTTGTTTTCTTAATGAAATGTCGTGTTCATAGTTCCTTTCATCAGTATCTTAAATACAATAAACACAACGTATATATAAATGTAATACAGTAATTGTCTTCGAAAGACTAAACAATACCGGTGCAATGGAGATTACACCAATATAGTTCAGTGATCGCGGGGTTATTATCTTAAAAAAAGACACATCTGATGTTTTATATCTAACCAAGGGTTTTAATTGACTACCATGATTAAAACTAGCATTAACTTGATAACCGACAGCGCTTAGATTGGACTGGACACATCATGACGATATTATTGTAGTATATTTAGCAAGGACAAACAATGGTTTTAAGGATACCAGTCCTACTGTGCTGGGGGTTTCCGTACAAACAGTAATTTCTCCTTCATGGGTTTGATTTCATTAACAAAGTTGCTGTTTTCGTTTTATGTTAAAGCTCATTGTGTTTGTCCTATTGTTTTGATTGATCCATTTCTGTTGCGGCGTTTAATATAATATTTGTCTTAGATGCATAATGAAGCTGCATATTTATTTTTAAAACTGGAAATAAACTTTAAGAAACATCTGTAGGCGGAATAAAAATAAAAATAAAATTATACACCGAGACAACCCTTGATAAACTTACTTTGTACACCGAGACATCCCCTTATAAACAGCAGGTCGATTGTCGCACTTACATCAGTCATCATCCCTCTGTCTGCGGCTATAAATACATGTAGCTCCTAAATCATGAGCCTGTCAGCTAGTGTACAGCATCCGTCCTGGCGACCGTTAATTATCGCTCACGCACATCCACACATATAATGAGCTGTTAACAAGTCAAATATGGCGGATTATCAACTTCCTGTTTATTTTTGGTTGTCTTGAGTTGGAAACATGTTTCTGAGCATACGTAGGGCATTTCATTTTGTTTAAGTTGATTGAAAGCTTTAAGATACTTTGCACAATTACCACCTCTGGTATCTGTCTTTCCAACTTTTATTTAGCTGGTGGAACGGAAGTGGTGTATGGATTTCTGGCAGGCGCTAATACCAATGTAGCAAACTATATGTTTGATGTCGAAGGATCGATTCCATTAAAAATTACAGCATCTGTCATCAGGGGTAAGTATACTATACATTCAATGTCTATAGACTTTTTTTTTTCTTCGTTCACCCTTTTTCGTTACTTAATAAGAATATCTAAGTACAAAGAGAAGGATACAACTTTACAACTTACTTATGAGGCAATTTGGGTTTTCATCCAAACAATTTTGTGGACGTACTTAATATATATTTGATTCCTGTTTTTGTGCTGTCATATTGATTTTGGGTTCTGATTCCGTGCTTGTGTGCTAACACTGTTTTTCTTCCTTTTTGATTTTTCAACAGACGGTAGCGATTGTTGGCCTGTGCGTGCCAATTTTATACCCGAGGCTGGTATAGCAAGTGGAGATGGACAAAGTGGTATTATGTACAACTTTGACTTGCTGGACACGTCACGAGGTATTCGGAATCCGTCTATTTTCAAACCTCCACCCCAATGTAACGGAATTCCATTTACAAAGGTTCGTTTCGGTCGAATGATTTTTTCAGATCTAGGTCAAATCATTTTATTTTTGTCTAATTAATTGTTCCGACTGATTTGAGATTAATTGATCTTTCTTTCACTTAATTTTCTGTTGTAATCAACTCTATTACACCAATATTCTTCCTTCGTCACTTTTAAGATTGAAGAAATTATTCTTAACTTGATATTCTTAATTTCAATAGTTCGCTGTTGGAAATATCTTATTTCTTTTATATCTGAAGATCACAATTGTCGATGTTATTATCCATTAACATATAAAAAAGATCATATCACAGAAAGTCTTTGGTCTACAACTATTTAAAGCAGCACATTGTGGAAAATGATAATTCAGACAGATTTATGCATTATTAAGTGTTACTTTTTAATTTCCTTTTGTTTGTTTCAGAAATATATCCATAAAATCGATCCTTTTCGATTCATTTTACATCAATTTGGATTACATTAGTAAAGGCAAGCAGCATGAATGTGTACCGCAAGATCTTCTTGTACATTTAATGTAAATTAAACATTATGTAATTTAATTTACTTGTTTTGAATGCTATTGGACATAATTAAGTGATAAAATGTTCCCCAATGTTATGGTCACCTGTAAAATATTTTTTTCTTTTGTTTTATTGTTCTCTCTTTATATATTTTCTGGTTTTATGTTGATGCAAATTACCGATTGTTATCATTAACAATAATGTAAGATACAACCACAAGCTGTTGTTTCTTTAACAACGTCGAACAACACGTAAATACTGCCATTTTGTTAATACGGAAGCCTGCTGTGTTGCGTTTTGTCAGTTCACCTGACCCGAAGTTGTAGACAGATGAAAGACACATTTACTCTGGAGCATGCTTCTGCTCAGACTCAAGTTTTTGTATAAATGGAGGATGTGCCCCAATAGGGTAGATGGATAGGATCACATGGGAAAGGCTTGTGCATTCTGAATAGTCTACTTCTCAAGAACGAATTAAGGTATATTAACTAAATGACATGGTACATCCTCTGGCCAATGGAACTCATTGTGTACAAACAAGGAATACGGCTCCCTTGGGAGCAGAGTGCTCCGTCCATATCCGTTAACCCTTCTTCAGAGTAACATCTTGTTACCTTTGCCAAAACATATATAGAATGTACTTAAATACTAACAGTTTTTACTCTGTACAATCATAAAGCTGTATTGTGAAAGTCATTTTTTCTTTAAAATCTTCCTCAAGTACACAAGCAGCTTGAAACTTTAAACACGAAAAATGTACTATTTACTAGGATTGTTTTTCACAGGAAACTATCGGGATAACGAATGTTTAAAAAATAACATACCATATATAGTAAGTATATATGGGATGAATTAGAACAGATCCAGACTGAGACTGATCACCTCAGTCGGCACACCTTAGGAGACTTCCGTGGAAGCGAGGAAACGACCGATGAAGAGGGAACCTACCTGACGATGGAGCTGCTCTACTCCTTGTGTAAAAGGTTATGTAGGGCAAAATTAGTACTTTATATTATACCAGTGGATGGCGAAAACAGGACCAAGCGAAAGTCTCAAGGAACACAGCGTATCATTTTCACATATCAATATATATATCCGTTTGATGTTTTCCAATCAACGTAAAATTGTGCTGAGGTTACCACTACCTAGAGCGAATAGCAAAGGTTTACTCCAACACGGTTGTGGTCAAATAAATCATGTACATGTAATAAAAATGTTGTCGAATCAAAATATACAAAACGCTGATTAAAATAAACACTAAGGACCTTTTGATAAATGCTGAATTCCTACAAAATGTTTAAGACATAGATAAACCAAAGACTTTTCGAAAAATAAGGAGCAAGAAACTATGTAGAAAAATCACAAATCGTCGAGGCATTCGATTTTGTTATTATGAAATTTTGCGAAACACAATTATCTGATGATGCTCGTACTCCAGTAGATCGGCTAGTGGGGTGTGGTTTACAGAATTCTGTAATTAAGGAACGACTTTCCGAAAATGTGCACCTCTAGAGAACGCAAACCAATCCCTCATGTACTATACATAAGAATTATCATCTGTAATAACAAAAGCCTGTACCATGTACCGTGCCGTTAAGCTAGAAAAGCTAACATCCACAATGACAGTATCCTGATAATATATTTTGAAGTAATTTCATTTCATACCCATGTGAATTATAAATTCCTTAGGGTGACATGCGATTAAAAAGGAAACTACTTCAATCTACACATAAAACTGTGCAATTATTAACAGTTTTAATATTGTAATATCGTTAGTGTTATCGTAAACGTAAACGCTGCCCGGCGTTCAATTAAAAAGTTTGCTAATTCAGGAGGCTGGGACTGTTGTTGTTGAATCCCAGGACACAATTAGGATGTGACACTTTGTAACAATATGAACCCATGAACAACTTTTAATGCGTTTCGTCATAATGATTGTTATCTAATCCTTCCAGAGGTACCGCTCATCCCCCAGTAGATCGGCTAGCTGAACTAAGTATGGTTGGTAGAATTCAGTTAGTAAGGAACGTGTTTCCGGTAACATGTCTCGAGTGTCTGAGCCTTTTTTCTTTCTGCTGTTTTTTGAGGTATTTCTTACTTGTTGTTTTACGTCACCTAATCAAATAAGATGGTGTCATGTAAACTGTTCTTAAAAAAGAAGTTAAATTCATCATTCAATTATTCAAAATCAGGTGGTTGACATCTGCGTTACAAATGGAACTTATTACATTTCTAAATATTAACTCACACGTTCTTCGACAACATTTTTCATTAGTTTACAAAAGTATTTATTACTGAAGTTAATTGAAGTAAATCCAGGCTTACCAAGAGTTGTTAGTTTTAAGTTAAAATGTACCACTGAACCTAGAACATTTCTATTTATCAGAACATTTCACATAGTTCATCAATTCACATAATGTATTTGTTACTACATTGAGTTAAAGTGCGTTATAATTAGTTTTACCGATGAACTCACAACAATCATGTTTGATAATACATTTAAAAGCTAACGAGTAAATTGCTATGTGTACTGATGATCAAGTGGTCTTAAAAAATAACCCTTGACGCTTCGTCTTGAACGACTACAGACACAGACAAACCCTGAAAAATATGAGAAAATTAAATGCATCCATATGTAATAAAATACATACCCACATCTAGAAAGCGAAAAATATTCCTCATGACCTCCGACTTGTTTTTGGAATACTCGTCAAGTCGTATTATATGAAACTGGTTTCGAGGGAAAAACTTCATATACTCTTTGATGAATACCACATAGAACCCATTGCTTAGGGGTACCGAACTAGTCACATTTCCCTACAAAACAATAATTATAACATATTATATTTTGTACTAAGAAACTCATTTCGTTAACGAAAGTTTTTTTACAAAGACATACTTAAAATATATTTTGATTTTGACATATGCCTGAGGTATATATTCATCTCTTTCTATTCGTTTCAATCACAATGACAAGTGCATATTTGAAAATATATATACCTGTAAAAGAACGTAAATGGCTAATAAAAAAACCTCCAATTCATAAAGCTGTTAGCTATAAGGCAAGTAAGCTTAAATAATGTGTGTAAAGTTTCTGATTAAATATACGACTTATACAAATTTTACAAATTGAAGTTTTGAAAATTGAACTATGTTTTATTTATTTTGTAGTCATGCTGTTGCTAAGATCCCAGGCGGTTTTACATTTTCCCGCGAAAACATACTGTTCGCTCTACTGCGTTGCCTCCATATACAAATAAGAAAACATATCTGTATTTTTTTTTGTATGATTGCATCGGAAAATTCAAAGAACTTAACATGTAAATATAAGAACGCGATCACTGGATTATGTCCAAATAACCCATGTTGTTATGACCTCATGAACCCTGAAAACAAAATAATTCTTTAAACAATGTTCATAAGACGCTCATTTTGAATATTTACTCATAAAAAAATGTTTTGAATTGCGATCTCTTTGAAAGTTTGGGTTTTCAGGTTTTAAACAAGTTGTGTTAAAGTAGAGTTATCTCCCCGTTGTAACTAAAATAGGTGTACTATTTTGTGTAAATAGGTGACCAGTTATCTGTAATTTATTGGTGTTATTAGTATAATTTGTACCTGGGGAACCTAGAGACCACCTTCAATACTAATTTAATGCAGTAACAAATCCAAATATAGAATCTGACACGATATATCGTATCAAGGATATACTTGTTAACATACTGGTACAGTGACGTAAATTTGACCTGTTTGTGATATATTGATGACGTATGATTACCTCATTAAAAGAGTTGTGATCCAGGCAATATCGAATATCGTGGTAACTAGAACAGCTCTGGAATGAACGTATTTCCTTTAGCACTTCTTGATGGAATCGTTTTGCCGACACTTCTCCTTCGCTGACAAACAAGTAGTCAGAATACAACCTGTATAATAAAGAAAAAGGTTTTCTGGAATCAATCACTACATCAGCTTGTCAACATGTTAAACATGACCTATTGCTTTGAAAAAGGGTAATATCACGTTTAGTATTGGTACTGGGTAAAATGAAAAACAACACACAAGGTAACAGTGAAGTCATGTCCTTAAATGACAAAAGTCGTTAATAGGACTTTAATCTAAATACAACACCACGAAAGATGATTGGCTGTGAACATTTAATAAATGGTTGTGTTACTGTGTATATTAAAATAGTAAGAGAAATAGTAGGTACATTGGCAACATACAAGGACGAGTTGATGACGTCAATGCTAAATGACAACACAACTAGCTGGTGGGACACCACAATATTAACTACCTCATGAACACGTACAAAATGGAGATTAAACAAGAACGATTAATATAAGGGGTAATGACTTATTTCTTAATAGTAAATACAGTTTATATTCTTGTATTATAAACGGAGATGAACAACAGGCCCTTACCTTGACACAGGGTTCCGGAGAATGATAATCATTTTCAGATTGGGCATGAAACGGTGTATATAATTGGCGTTTGTCAGAGCCGGAGGTTCAGTATCATACTGGTTCACTGCATAGTTCCACCACCATCGATTATCTTCTAAATTCGAAGGCGACGCCTCTCCTGGAATGTCAACGGAACTGGCATAGTAAATCGGCAGTTTTAAGAAATAGTTTCCAATTAAAAATAATTAACAAAAATATTTCCCAACAAAAACACACAGAATAGCAATAAGCAGCCAACCAGACACGACAACAAATATGAAAAACGATCATGACCCCTCACTACACTACACAAATATAAACTACAGAAGCAAAGCAAGGTTATCGAGAAGCAAAACCAAGTGGACGGGGTGGTTTCTTCAAAAGAAAAACCAGGTGATCCGGACGGTTTCTGCAGAAGCAAAAACCAATTGATCCTGATAGTCTCGCATAAAATAACTAATTAGTGGTTTTATGGGGAAAATCTCCAATGAACGACCTCCAAATAAAGTAAATGTTTGATTTGTTTTCGAAGATTAAGGCTTCCCGTACTACTACCAAAAACTGTAAGTAAGTTTCCGGCATGGCTATAGCTTTAATAAATAATTTTTGAAACAAAAATCCAAACCATCCAGGACTTCTATGAGAAATATTAATAATAATGAACCAAACAAAACATAATCAACAGCAGTTACGGGAAAAACCCTTGCTGGTTCGGAAAAAGGAATACGCTTGCTGTATCCCACTGCTTGATCGTAATGGTCGCATTAATGTGGGACCCCTGCATAATCGTGAAGTTTCGTCAGTGTCGTCTACAGTCGGGACATGCAGGGGACCATAGTTGATCTACTGGCCCATTCCAATACTTGGGATCTTTTTTATTTCCTATCTCTCCTGTCTTCTGTCTTTTCTATGTACTTTCTGTACAGGCGGTGTCTCCCTAGGCACATGTATTCATATCACCATGGCCGTTGTAAAGAAGGTCAACCCAAAACAAACAAATGTCACGGGAACGTGACATCTTCTTTTTCTGTCCTCCGCATCGTGTTGTCTGACGTTGTGTTTTATTGTAGCTTATTAATCATCATAAAATGATGCATGGATTATACCATATTATTACATGTTGATAAAGAACATATTACCTCACCTACGTCTTTAAGACTTTTCTTTATGTCGCGGTATAAGGAATATGTGTGGTATATTTCGTATGTACACGTAGATTATTAAATATGCATTGTACGTTATTCACCATCATGTATTCTACACCAGATAACAATGACTGATACACTACATCAATACATACCCGTGATGATTTCTCTACTACGCTTTTTCTCCGCCAATGTCGTACCAGTCAGCAAATGTTGTATTTTCTTTGCTGTGCTGTCGAAGTAATTGACATAATCGTCCCAATTCCGTGCTTTGTTAGGTTCTACAAGATAACTGATGCTTATTTAATTAAATTTAATATATTGAATTGTACCGCACGTTTTTTTCATTTGGTGGCAACACTTTAATCATGTTATTCATATATGATCTAACAACTATCTAGATCAGAGGGAATACATGTTTTAATATTTCCTGGCCCATGCGCAGACTGCGTATACTGATTTGTATGACTGGAGTGATTTGACGAGTAAACGAGATCTAATTACCCTTACTGTGTGAAAACTACCTAATAACTAAAGTATTATTTGTCTCTTCGTATCCAGTATTGACTACGTTATAACTGTTCTATATATTACTTTTCAACTTGTACGGTATGATGTTGGGTTATATCTGGCCAAGGGTCTATATATACACCGATACCTTATAATTATCCTCTACATACAGGTAAATGAATTCTACAGGTTAAGTATAGCTCACAGGAGACACTTTTTTGTATGGTGTATGATCAAAAGAACCTTTTTAATTGACAATGTGGGATAATTACCGTAGCAAATGAAATTCGAGTGGCTAACTTCGTCGGTCGTCAAGTCGTCCTGTCTCAAATGGGATTTCATATTCATTTCCATTAAGATATACATGTACTAAAGGTATACTTATAACAGAAGAAACACTGAACTGTAGCTTGTGTAATAATTGTTTAAATTCGTGAGATGACATCAGTTGTCGACAAAGCTTTAGCCGTAGACACGATACTAGTTGTATACTGTAGTAGTTACAATTTTTGTGGAAGGTAGTAATTTTGAGGTAGATACTTTACTTTGGTTTATAATAACCACAACATAATAACGTCTCCTACAGTGAAGGTCGCCTTGAGGTATCTTGTTTAAGAACGTCAGTCGACAAGATATTGCAAATTTTAAATTTTGAAAAATTAAAAGTATCCTACAAAATCATTTCATGTGATATGTGTCTTGAAAATGTAGTAGTGGGCAACTTTTCCCACACTTATCTTAGGTTATAGAATAGAGTGTTTAGATGTAGAACAGGATAGTCGTTGGATACATACACAGACTATCTTTCATTATATGAGATATCCGTTCCATTGTCTAAAATGAAAACTATGCATTAGAAACAAATGTTACTGACATGACTAGAACTTTGATAAATCATTTATGAAAAGAAACCATACCTTGCGGGACTGTTATGAAAAAATAAAAGAGATGAAATAAACAAAAAACTAAATTTCAAAAGTGTAAATAAAACACCGGGGCTTGACCATGATTCGAACTCTGGGCCTAACATTGCTAAATTTCATCTCTAACCAACTGTGTTATCTGGTAAACGAGGCGCCATGACCAAAGCCATTCCGCCAAAGGTTTGCGTATGTTAATAACGAAATTAAAGGGAAGTTATTGCATATACGAAAATCCCCAGTGGAATTGTTTTGTCTTCAGAGGGGCAGGGATTCTTAAATACCTGACTTCGGGTATGAGACAGGAAAGCAATGTCAATCAAATTCAACACTTACATGACTTTCAGTAAAATGTTAGTCCAAGTTATGGATGAAAAATTAACTGTCATTATACAAATCAGAGGGATAGAGATTTTAGTAAGCATCGTTCCTAACACAAATTCATAAAATATCAGGTAAACAAGCCTTGTACAATGTATCTAGATGTAATACAACATAATATCTACATTTGCTCTGCATTGCCACTATATAACACTACCAAGGCCAGTTCCGTGTTTTGACTATAACACAGGCGTAGTGATATATCCACGGGACCGATTAACTACCGGATCGCTATTCCCCTCCGCACAAGCAAAAAAAACCACCAAAATAACACCATCACTATGATTCAAGATTATTCACTGTTTTATATAAAACTATTATATAAAGTGGATTGAAGAAAAATCATTGATTAACTAATGGAAATTATATCGATATTTTTGTGTTTTTGTGTTCCACGAATATATTTCTTTTACGAGACAACATTCTGTGAGCAATTCCATGGGCTGTTTTAGCCCTTGAACAAACACTGCGAAACTCGAATTTAAAAGTGCGTTGATAACTAAGAAATGAGAGACAAAAAACCCGAAAAATGTAAATACAAGCATAAACCTATAACACGGACAAAATTGCAGAGTGATAATCATAACGCGCTAATGCACGTTTCTCATTTTTTCTACATCCTATTCCGAGCTATAGGACCATAACACGTAACAGAATGCTGTTGAATGCTTAAATAACCTTTGGATAAACAAGTATTTGATCTTACACCAAACTATTATCTATCGGATGGAATATCGTTATACGATATCCTCCACAGACTAAAACCATGATGAGATACAGTAGAAATATTAGCAATGTGCTATTAAAGGTAAATACATTCAATTCCAAGAAAAATAATACTTAAATATGACATATATTGAAAAATATACAATGTAAATATATACAAAGGAGGATATGAATAGAAAATACGGTATATACAATGCACTTTTCAACTATGTCACAATGTTAGTATTGGCTTCTGACGGTTCTGTAAGTGACATAAATGTTGAGGTAAAATGATAATAGCCAAATAATATGCGATTTGTATCATTGTTGTAAATTTATGTTACAATAAAAAAGAACAGATCTAGTCCTACATAATATTTATCAGATTTATCTGACAAACTTAAGATCCCTAGCTTTACGCTCCTCCAGCGATGCATGTCAATGTTGGACGGCGTAAGCTGGTACTTTTATAGTTAAAGAGGAAAACATGAAAGTCGTATTTATCATTAACTGGCGCGAATGTTTTTCATGACAAAACACCACCAACCATAAACACTCTGAACTAACAATTTTAACACTGTGAGAATTGTAAAACTACGACTATTATACATTTGTAATACACATTTTATCACTCTAAAACACGAACTGTAAATGTGGAAAATTTCGTGTGGAAATATTCGCACCTGCAGTAGTTCTGAAAGCTAAATATCTTTATAATAATAGTCTGTACAATCTTTAAATATATATTTGCATGTGGATATTTCACCACTCATTTACTCAACGCGACAAACGCGAAAATTTCCACTTTTACAGTAAATGCAGCATTTAATTACGATATTCAGTACTTACTTTTACATCGGAATTGATAGGTCAGGTTTCCACAGCCTCAAATGAAATATAAACAAAGTGTTTACTATCTTGTTACCAATACCTCCCATTAAAAAATGACACCATTGGAGCTCAAAGTCGATACCAGTAAGGTAAGGTTTTAACAGACTCAAAGGAAATATAAACAAAGTGTTTACTATCTTGTCAACAATACTTCCCATTAAAAATGACAACAATAGAGCTAACCAGATTAGGTTCCACAAACAAAGAGAGACAAATAAATTTGAAAATATGTCGTCCTATTTTGAAAGGTCTGTGTCTTTTAAAACTCAACACAGCTCCCGACATACTGCCTCTTGTACAATTGGAAATTACGAACTGTCAGGAAAAGGGTTTAAACCCCTGAATAATAACGTTTTTTTTATCCAATGTATAATCTATCCGAACCGACCACCACCCCCACCCCAGGAAGGCTAGAAAATAATTTTACACTCAGTCACTGCATCCTATCCTTTGAACTACTATTGATTTTTATGGTTAGACATATTGAACTTTTTAAACATGGTACAATTACCGTAAGGTAAATTAAAGGATATAACTCATAAGTAATGATGATCTAGGGACTGAGGTATTCTACCGTTTTCCATTTATTTAAAAAATACCAAAGGTTTTTCTATCGCTATCTGGAGATAAAGGTATTTGTGTTTCATAAATATTACTAAAATACCTTGTATACAAACATTTGATACTTCATCTCGAAAAATTCTTAGTTTCTCTGTTAATCAAATATGCAAAATTAAATTTAATCAAGAACAACCTATGGCCATTTGCACGAATAGGTGAATTACAAGCGATACTTGTATTGTTGTACCCTATACTTACAATAACAGTGACGAAATCTAGCCCAGAACTGTGGTTCCTTTCCTTTGGGTGAAATTATATCAGGATGAGTAACAATACTAGCAAATAGATCTGTTGTTCCGCATTTTTTCTGTCCTAATAACATGAAGTATGGTACACAACTCAGTGTCAATGATCCATTTTTGTCTTTTTTTTGTTTATACCAGCATGGGTTCTTCAGCTTCGGTAGAAAGTTTGGTGGTGTCTGGAAAAATGGGGGGAATATAGTAAAGACTCGTGTAAGACGTCGGGGGCGAGTTGTTATATACTGTAGAAGTGGATATGTTCGTGTGTGGAAATGTTCGCGTTGTGACCCTTAAAACTGATTGCCGTGTGGAAATGTTCGCATTGTGATCCTTTAAAACTGATTGCCGTGTGGAAATGTTCGCGTTGTGACCCTTTAAAATTGATTTCCGTGTGGAACTGTTCTCGTTGTGACACTTACAACTGATTGCCGTGCGGAAATGTTCGTGTTGTGACTCTTAAAACTGATTGCCGTGTCGAAATGTTCGTGTTGTGATCCTTAAAACTGATTTCCGTGTGGAAATGTTCGCGTTGTGACCCTTAAAACTGATTGCCGTGTGGAAATGATCGCATTGGTAATAGTTCTGAAATCTATGTATTCTATGTATCTATTACCTTAAAAGTATTCGCATCTGGATAATTTCGCGCTTATTCACTCAATGCGAAAAACGAGAACATTTACACACCGCGATAATTTCTACAGAATATGGACCAAGTTGTTGAAGCTTTGGTCTAAGTTATTGATGATATGGCCAAAGTCTTAAAAGTGTTTTTCGAAGCTGTCAATTTTTTAAACAAAAGGTATGACACAAAATGTGAACAATACAGGCTTATTTGTCAAATGTATGACTTAGGTTGTCGAAGGAATTAGCAAAACCGCAATGGTATACATGCAAAGCCAAATAAGTTGTTTTAAATGCAGAGGTAAAAGAAAAGTTAGAAATATAAGCACAAGTTGCCAGATGTAGGAACCAGGTCGACAATGGTATAAGTGAATTTATCGAAGGTTTCGACGAAGGCATCAAATTATGAGCTATTTGCTATAGGTATAGTCTTATTTATAGACGACATAATCAAAAATGTTAAAATAGTATTGACGAAATTGTAAAGTTCTGAATTAAGAAAATATACATTACCATGTGAAGGATGTCTTCCTTGGCGTAATCCAGGAACCTTTGTTTATAAATTATCTGAGATTGTAATGCTTCGAGCTCATCACTGCGGAAGTAGTTTCCTGTATGATGAACATGTTCATGTCTGCCTGATGAAAATATCAACGTCATAGTCCACGTAATATAGGACAGACTCAACACTGAAAGGATCCCTATAAATGACGTTAACGTAAGACGATAGTGCCTTCTTCTTGCCATCGCTACAAGGGTGTGTTTATAAGTGAGACACAACATTTTTAGTCCCTACGGTGCTACGACGTTTCGGTTTAACACACACAACACACACGCGTTGATGATAGCGTCCATTATATCCTTAAACTCTAGAAAACAACTTATTTCATGTCTGTGTTAAATTTCTTGCAAGATGATAATCTCATTTTCTCTCAAGGCATATGACTATAACGATAGCTCAACAAGGCAGATGGCAGCATGCTTACATATTGTCCCCAGTGCCGTTGCAGTGTTTATAGATGAATATAATACCTAAATTACTCGAAACATTAAATCTTTTCATACGATACACTCTTCAGGGTGAAACACTCTTCACGGTCTAACTATTTTTTATTACTTTACCCTACGACAAACGACACGGCCGGTCTTGTTAAAATAGTAGTACCATTATGTTTACCTGTCGATTTATCACTATTATAAGTGTACAAATAAAAAAGTCACCAGACAGCCTAATAGAAGAGTTATTTGATATAGTTTAAAGGGACATCAGGACGAGGTTTGTATATATTTCCAAAGGACGTATATCCTCTGTGTACACAATGATTAATACTTTCTGCTACACAAATGTACTAAGTCTACTCTTCGCCTTTAGGTCACATTCAGGATCCTGAAACATTGCCAACAGCTATAAGTAGGCATTATTGTTTTCCGGCATGGTTATATTTATCACCTAGTATTTACTTGTTTTTCAAGATTCCAAAGTATATCAGCCCGAAAGTCACCGATCTGGAGTTGTTTCTATTTAATGAAAACCATGGTTTTGTTCGTCCGTATATTAATTTTCGAGTGCATCGATATCGTAATTAAGAAAATTATGCATTTATATACGGATGAAATACATGATGAAAGATAAAATAGAAGAGTATTGAAACTCCATGATTCCAAGTAAAATGTTAGTCTGGTTTAATTAAAACAATAATGTCCAGAAACAACTTCCATAATATTCTGAAGTTCCTCAAAGTGGCCGACTACCAATTTAATGATGGCAGACACCCACTTGGACCGGCAGTTTTCCTTCCGTTGAAACAGTGACATACTAGAAGTTAAAATATTTATGAACTTGAACTTTCATTGTTATTAACCAAAATTACCATACATGATATAGAGTGGTTTTCTTGTAAATTAATGGAATCGTACATTTCGATCTAGCGAAGTTTCAGGATTACATGTACAAAGAACTTGAAAATCACGTTAAACTACGCCCGTCCACCTTTTAAGCGGGCTCATTATCAATGACCTTTCCAGTTTTATTTTTTATAACTTTACAAAACGTATGGTGTATCATCTGGTGTTACCGAAAATATTATAATTTTGTGAGTTAAAGACAAATAAAGTAAACCCAAAAATATTTGTTTTAAAGAATATTCTACAAAGTTTCAGAACATACCCCTTTACTGTGGTGGCCTCTCGATTTTATCCACGTGTTTGTGATGAGGGAATTGTTTGAACGACAAACACTGAAAATATTGTGTGATAAACTGTTTATCATCTATATACTTTTACTTTATATATTTCTCCATTTAAAAAAGTCAGCTAAACACCATATTTTCCAAAAGACTTCTTCTATCAATGATCATTGATTGCAAACACTCGGTCGGTGACAAACGTAAACAAACAAAAACATTTGCGCATATAGATACCATGAACCATAAAACTATGTAGAAAAAAAATATTTTTCAAAACAATATCATCGTCACTGGCTTCTCTATTTGCACATTTTCTTTTAAAGTGGTGTTGCAATCATCACAATATGTTTTCGTAACTTTAATTTGATTTGTTTATGAGGGACTATTTTCTTACGCGGATACCTTCGGTACATTTAAAATTGTATGGATACTATTTCCGGTTTAAGACATCACCGGGCGCGAGCTGAAGTTCGTGTTAAGAAAGTACGTGTCAAAATGCAAGGAAATTGGAAAATCCGTTCCCAAGTTCTTCTCAAGTTCTTCTCAAGTCGTTCTCAACTTCTTCTTGAGTGTTCTCATATATTGACCACACATGACAATGAATGTATCATGTTACCGGTAGATGGTATAAAGTAGCACAAAGATGTTAAAAGATAACATGTAAATCTGGCTGGATTATTGAAACATACTCAAATGAGGAAAGATATCAACTTAAATACGAAATCGTATTTATGCACAGCCCATTTCTTAAGATATATCCACCACGATATGCGTTTTCACAACCGAGGAAGAGGGAGACTTTTGCCTTACTATATTGCAATCTGTTAAACACCGATACTTCTTTGATTGAACTAGTATCATGCTCATTAGTTATTTTTGTCGTCAGATTGGTGGTTTAGGTGAGCTATCGCCCCTGGGTTTTTTGTTTTAGTTTTAAATATCTTTTTATTGTCATTTTGAAAAAAACATATAAATATAGTTATGTAAATAGATTGTTAAACCTAAAATGTATTCATGAGATGTCCACATGTAATTCACGATCGACTCGCTTTCCAAAATAGATATTTTTTAGCTGCAGCTCATAAACATTGTTTTTCTCTGCATAACTTACTTATGAAGAAACAGTTACATTTCAAAAAAAAAATATACAAAAAATACTGAGAGGTTCCATTTAGGTTGACTATTGTTGTCACGTTTATCTAACTGGAGTTCATAATTTTCATTTCTTCAGGTACTTTTAGAAAAAAGAAAATGAATATCAGCATTTTTCGTATTCTTGAAAATAGACTTTCGAGAGTAAAAAAGAAAAACAGACATGATGAACAACACTCAGGGGTTGTGGGACTTCGTTCTACCAAAACTTTGGTGACGTGTCGAGTGAAGGATCATTATCGGTTTACAAATGACTCGTGTCTTTGTAGGACGTCTATCATCAAACTAGAGATCTGACGAATGGCAAATGATATGTTAATGGATATTACAAAACAATAAATAAAATAAGCCCCTGGTAGACCTCTAGAGAGGCGAACGCGCTAGAGCGAGCTACTTAGAAACGCTTTGTTTGTTATTTTTATATTTAACAATCACAAAGACTTTGAATGTTGTTGTATTAAATATATACACGCAATTTTCGTCCTGACAAAAACCGATGAACACGTGAAATGCGTCTGAAATATGGTTGTTTTACTGAGGTGATCATGAGACCTTTATGTAAACTGTTTACATGGCTGTTTTCCACGTCCATTCGATGACATGTGAGCCTTAGGCGACGTCTGTCGTCCCTAAAAATTTAGTGCCTAGCTAATGTCATAAGTTTCATTTCATTGATGATCAACAGTTGTTGTATATATTTCCGGCTCAGATAAGATACCATATTGCACTTTTTACAATGCATGAACAATATAGGATTTGTAAAATCGTAAACATGCTAACCTTTCTTTCGTAATGTATAATAAATATTTACGTACAAAACAAACGCAAGGCCTTACCTTTAACCCTGTAATTTGACCCTTGACCTTTGACCGATTGCGCTTTGCTTTGAATATGTTCTATATAAATAGTGAGGGCTTAGCCGGCTGTAACAATCCGCCATGAGACTGGACATCGTGACAGTATCCCCTGCTTTGGTAGCGCTATCGCTCCTTTTGGCTGTGGGAGGACAGACCGTGTATAGAAAATGTGAGGGGGGACATGGTAACATGTATGCATACAACGTCACCGATTTGGACGGGAATCGTAAATATATGTCGGATTTTCAAGACGAGGTCGTAGTAATTGTGAACGTAGCAACCTTCTGAGGTAGGTGTTTGTATTTAATATATGTTAGTTTAACTTTTGACTTGACTATGAAGGAACTGTAGTTTAAATGTTTAATATGACATAGATCTAATTAAACTAACACAGTTATTTTTTTACTTTTACTATTTCATTCATATTTTACTTTAGAACCCTCAGTCGGTTAATTGAGCAGCTACTAACCCGCGGTTGCCCACGCACTGTCTGTGTTTTAGATTCCATATTGCTTTTTTCTAAACTTTCCTTTCCCAGTATTCTTACTTTAGCTATATCCATTTACCTGTGGTGGGAAAACTTTCAAAGATGGCTGGATTACCACGGTTGACCGTACACAACTTGGCGTTGCAAATTTTGAAATATTGTCGCTCTATTAAGGAACATCTGTTTATATAAGCCAGATTTTTTTGTGGAAGTTCACAATGACTTGTGGTTTAAGATTGTGTCTCCCCATTTCGTGTTGTCTTTCATTTTGCTTTCCGTATAAGCTGAAACTGTCAATTTTATCATCGTGTGTCAACATATGAATTATTTAATAGGTATACTTGTGTCCTGCTCGTGCTGGCAATACTTTGAAATGTTTTCCCTCTGTGGTTGGACAAACCAAAAGCACCGTTGCTCAAGCAGAAGACTGAAAGACAATGCCTCTCTTGCAAATGGTTAGTCAAAATATTGAGATGAAAGTATTTCAGACCAAATGCGGCACTATACTGTAGCTTACACAAGTTTAAACTATCTAAATGGCGCGTGTTTTGGGAGAACAAGGGGATCATACACATTTCAAGTGGATAGTAGGTTACTGAAACAATATTTATCCATCTCTTCAACGATATCATTATAATTTTGTTTACTGTGTGATGATTTTATGTAACCCCTCCAACGTATAATAATACTCCCTTAAAATATGTATTGGTCGAAATATACACCATGCAATCGATGTTCAGGTCCCTGGAGTTCTGACGTCAGAGTGGTCTATTATGATTCATGTTAAGATTCCTCCTTCTGTCGAACTCGACTCATGACGTAAGCTTCCAGATTTGCGTCACTCTGTCGGTTATTTATTTGTTGGTATGTGACATATTGCGCCTGAAGTCAACATACTTTGACTGTTATACATGTGTGTCCTGTGGCAGTACAGGAAGCTGTTGTTAGGGCGTCCTTTGCTTGTTGAGATTGTACATATTTTCTAAGGATGCGTTGAAGTGCGTCCAAGCTGAAATGTCTTACTGTAGTACGACCCAAAGGGATCTGAGAATATGTTACAGCTTTATCTGGACCTAAACTAAGGTGTTCAGAGCAATTTTACATGTTTTTAGTGGAAGAGATCAAATTTTGGTCAAAATTCCACCCCCAACGATCATATGTACGATAATTGGAGGTGGCATTTTAACCGAAAGTTGATCAAAACCCCTAAAATGTGTAAAATTACCCAGAACACCAGGCAGGGTGCATACATTTTCATCAATAGTAATCAGTACAACCAATATGAATTCTAGAAGCTCTGAAATGAATTTTGAGCTTTTAAAGAGTATATAAGGATACTGTTTCAGACGTGAAAGATTTAAAAAAAAAAAGAAGGTTTACCAAATATTCTTAGTGGAATTAAATCGCTTTAGGTACTTCTTGTTAGCCTCAGAGTGCTTGTGCAATATTATAGCAAGTTGGATTAGGTTATTTGTATACAGAGAGTCAGACTAGTAAACCAAAGGTCCCAGTTTCATCCAAAGTGGTGGCAATGAAAAAAAACACCAAAAACACGCACAAAGACCTCTGTTACATTGGTCTGGCTAAACATTTGAGCACCGATTATCGAACCAAATTGCTACTTTAGGAGACAATTATTTCCGGTATGAGGTTGTCTGGACAGGATTTATAGATAAACAATGTAACTGTGTTTGCAGTATGGCTACGAGTACGGGACGTTTAGTACATCTCGTACATAGAATTACACACGGGCCCAGTTATAATACATGTTCTGTACATGTCAGTAAATCTGGAATTAATGCATAAATTACTATGTAAACAACTATTATTTGCTACCACCAACGTTTAATTATCTAAATTGTTAATGATTAATGCCGTTTTTCTGTAATAACTTTATAATGTGCGTATCATACAGTATATGTAATTATCGCGTAGCACACACTTGCAGTATGTTGTTTTCGAATGTTGTCTGAGTATTTCCTATATTTGTTGTACATATGTAACCTCCCCCTATACACACACAAACGAGTACAGCAGGGAGGTTGAAGTAGCGGTATTAGTTGGGGTTAGGGCGTGTTGGGAAATTTGGGAATTTGAGAGTTCGGCGGATTGGGTTGTATTCGCCCTTCCTGTACAAAACCTTGTCGGCGTGACTCCCACACATGTATTCTATCGCACATTTGTATAGTTAACAAGAACAAGTAACAATTTAAAAAAAATGGAGTTGAGGCCCTTGAAAAACTCGAGAAACCTTGTAAGCGCAATCCCTTCTTCAACTATTTATTCAACTATATTACAACTTGACACAGTCACATACATTTAAATACAGCTGTGTATTTGTAGCTATGCATTTTCTGGTTTGACTTGTTGTCCTCGACAATAACGGCTTGTGTACATGTATATGACAGAGGGGCTTGACATAATGATAGAGAGGCATGTGTAAACATGCATAAAGGTAAACTGCAATTGTTAGGTTAAATGTGAATGATTGTTTATGTACAATGAAGGTCTGAAGTAAACTTAACTGGTGTGTGTATGTTTGTAGGTTACACGTACAGGTTCACGGCTGTTCAAATCTAACCCCAGGCGTTTAGAATGTATTGTGATGTTCCTTATGTCTATACAGCAGTTAAAAGCAATAGAAGCTATCACTCCGACATGGTGCAGATAGAGACATCCCAACACAATTTTTATTTTTTATTTAGCAGTACTTAACTTCAAAAATCTTATCCTATGGGCTTAGACTTCTCTGTCGATATCATAGCAGGGTGATTATTTTTTTTACTCTCCCTTATTCATTTCGTAAAATAATGACGAAACCAATGCGCAGCGACATCTTCAAATGCGCATTAATTGTGTGACAAAATTGAAGACGCTTACACTGCATACATGATTAGTTAGGCCTAATGGTGACGTTTACAGAATAATTGCACGTGTTAGCTCTTTCCTTGGCGGGTGAAGACAGGTTTTTCTCCTGTTATTCTCAGAATTATCTCTCTTTGCTAACCTGTTCATGATTCTTCTATCAGCTCAACTAGTATGTTGCCTGAAACCCTCTGAAATATGACAGATAACACGTGAGCAGACACAAGACGATGACATCAGGGGAAAAAACGTGTATGACGTCACAAACAGCTCTCGACGGAAGAAGCCATGTGCAAATCAAGATAAAATATTATAAATGCTGAAAAAATATTTTCAAACATGTAATTGGAATAATAGGAGAATTGTTTTTCCTAACGTTAAGGGCGTAACAGAGCAGTCTCCGTCGTTTGGGTTGATTATTTAGTTTTTCTAGCTCTCGGGTTGCAGATTTCTCACACCGTGAAGATAGTAGTAACGTTACTCTTTCCCCAGCAAAAACGAGAATAACCGGTTAGAGAAAAAAACTGTGACGCATGTGACAAGTACTATCATAGACTTGTTCCTTTTCTATGGAACACGTGTAGTTACGTGAACGTGAATCGATATGGTTACTTGTATATTACATGGTTCATAACTTAATGATCTAGGTGTAAAACGTACAAGTTACCTATCAGTTTAAGTTTTGTATTTATTTTTAGGTTTCACGTACCAGTACCGACAAATAAATGCACTACTAAAGAAACACGAGAACAGATCTATTTCTTTCGTCGGATTTCCATGCAACCAGTTCGCCCTCCAGGAACCCGCCGATAATAAGACAGAGCTTCTGAACGGACTTCATTATGTTCGACCCGGAAGTGGTTATATTCCATTGTTTGACCTTATGGCGAAAGTAAATGTAAACGGGCCGCAGGAGGACCACTTCTACACTTATTTAAAAGTAAGTTCATTTGAAATGTAGTGCATGTATTACATGTGTATGCGTGTATGCTTGGAGGAGGCCGAGGGAAGGAGGGAGGGAGGGAGGGAAGAATTGGGGTGGNAACAAATCCTATATGTATGTAATAGTCAACTAGAAGGGATGAATTCTAAATTGGTTTGGAAAAAAGTTACACGTAGGGTCTACTACATAAAACTGTGACATGCATCTTCTTGAAAGTAGAATAAAGAAACGCGCTATTTGATTCTTCCAAGTTCGAGGGAGAAAGATTGGTCGACTCTTCCGATATACATTATGGAGGGAAATCGATTAAATTCTAGTTCGAGTTAACAGGTACTGCTTTATATTTATAGAACTCCTGTCCCCGTCTCCCGGACAATGCAGCATTCAGGGTACGGCGGAGTTTCTGGGACCCAATCCGTCCATCAGATGTCGTGTGGAACTTTGAGAAGTTTATTGTAGACAAGTACGGGATGCCAAGATATCGGATACTATCCGCTGTAGCCCCAGACGATATCGAGAATATCCTGGTATCCATGACATTGGAAGATTCGGCCAATAACCCGACTACAGCTAGCAATATCGTGAAAATTATCGAAGAAACATTTGATGCAATTGAACTTAAATTCACTATGGTATAATTTAAGGTCGCATATATGATTAAATATATCGTGAAGAAGTATACGATATTTGGGTGTAAAATTTGAGAAAGTTAAGTGTTTTTGAATCCAAATTTATACAATTTAATTTCAATTCGATTGTAATGAAGCTTCTGTCAGATTTTTCAGTATTTTAATTGTTTGTTTATGAAGTTCTTCGCAATAATGAAATTAATTGAAAATATATACATGACAGATTTTATTTTTTTACACTGACACCTTTACAAATCGTCTTAATTTAGGCGTTATAAAGGGATTTGACAATATGTCGAAAGAAATTTGAAAACCGCAATTGTTGGCGTTAGACGAGGTGGCACTTATAACTGAGAGACATTAGATTGATGTATAACGTGAATTCTAACTAAACGGTTGAAGAACCCGATTGGATTGAAATATTAACTGAATTTTATTTGAAAGAAAGACAAGTTCTAATCACAGCTATTCAATTTTTATTATGTATTGTACATTATGGTTAAAACAATAAGACATTACATGTATAGGTACAATGAAAATTCCTAGTCAGGATTCATTTCCAGAAAAAATCCGGATCATCTAATATGCCGATTCAAACAATGCATTTTACGTTGTTAACAAATCAAGCTTATGACGTCATGGTTATAAATTGGTAACAAGTAACCGTGACTGAACTTGTTGAAGAAATCTTAACAAATTTTGTGCATTTAATTTGTTGAAATTTACTTTGCAAATTCTTAATTTTGTTTTCAAATGAGAATGTATTTACTATATATATACACACAGATGTATTTTTGACATTTTGCAATAATATAACCATATGCATTTGCCTTGCTCAAGTTCTTATTTTTTGTGTGTGTTTTGTTTAGGTGCGACCTCACGCCTGTGATTAACGCAACTACGGCTAATACTGTACACTAATGTACGCCCAGACATGTATACATACGATTACTGTACGCTAATGTGGCCCATACATGTATACATACGATTACTGTACACTAATGTACGCCCAGACATGCATACATACGATTACTGTACACTAATGTACGCCCAGGCATGTATACATACGATTACTGTTCACTAATGTACGCCCAGACATGTATACATACGATTACTATACACAAATGTACGCCCAGACATGTATACATACGATTACTGTACGCTAATGTGGCCCATACATGTATACATACGATTACTGTACACTAATGTACGCACAGACATGTATACATACGATTACTGTACACTAATGTACGCACAGACATGTATACATACGATTACTGTACACTAATGTACGCCCAGACATGTATACATACGATTACTATACACTAATGTACGCACAGACATGTATACATACGATTACTGTACACTAATGTACGCACAGACATGTATACATACGATTACTGTACGCTAATGTAGCCCATACATGTATACATACGATTACTGTACACTAATGTACGCACAGACATGTATACATACGATTACATTAACGGGCTAGTTAGTGACACAGGACTCCGGACAGGAAAGAACCCGTTTTCTTATCAAACCACGGACTTGGATAGATAATCTAATTCCGCGATTAAAACCTACATTTTCTTTAAAGACGAATAACAGTCTATTTCACTAAAATTTGTCACAAACTACACCCGTATACTAATTCATTGTGAGGTTCGCATTTACAATAATAAACTGTACGTGGTACACAAGGGGTTGACGTAGATATTTATAACATTTTTTTTTCAAATCCTCGTTTCTGTCACACCTGTTCACCAATTATTTTTATCATACAGTTTCATCAATATGTCAGTATATGTCTCTTCCGTATATATGCATATATATATATATCTGAACTCTTCATCAAATTACTTCGTAATTGTATTTTATTTATTTATTCAATGTTTATCGCCGCTAGCCCCTGTGTATGGTTACGTGTCATCCTGAACGTAAAGGTTTTAGGTTGATAAAAAACTTAATAGACTTAATAAAAACAAACAAAATACCTGACATATTCGAAATGTAAATGTTTCACTGTCGGTATCGGTTCTGTTAAATGCTACTGTGCATCGCGAGAGCATTTCGAAGATGTTAACAAAAATCATTTTGACACGGACATTTTGAAAAATTCAATTTCGTTTTGACCACATGTGAAACACAAATGAGCGTAGACTAAAATATGTTAAATTACAAGAGAAGTACATCATTGTTTATGTCACTAATATTAGCGTGTCCATGTTTGTGTCATGGCGTCGCCTTGTACAAATGGCTAAAAACTGGTAATATGTAGCGATTGGTAAACACATGTATACAGATGTGCATGAAGTTTGTCTTGTGGCATCCTCGATACTCCAGGGCTCACTAGTGCTCTAGCGTAACTCCTGGAGTATCGAGGGTGGTCCTGGGGATAACTTCTGGAGTACACAAACTATTCACAATATTTAAAGGAAGATTTCGTAATCTTGAACTTCTCGAAGTGTGTAAGCAATTGCAAATCTCATTTTTTGCCATGCTACCAAACAAATAACGTATTTGGTATATAGAATTTGGTTGTGGATTAATATAAGGGGAGCAACTCCTGCCGACACCGATAACTGTTTATATCCGAATTTGACCCTTTTATAAAATATCTGTACTTTTTACTGTAAAACAAAACATTGATAATAGAAAATGAGGCATGCTTGCTGTTCATATGACAGTGCAGTGAATCTTGTCAATAGCTAAAATAAAATTCATAATTCATACTTCAGTCAAGCTACGACTTTTACTAAAGTACATATCAATTCCAATTGTACTTTTGGTCGATAATTTGTACGATTCTTTAAGGGAAGGGACTACCGATTCAAATGATTGTATGTCTTTGTTTTTTGTCAACGTTTTCCCCATTCACTGCTCAGTGTATAAATCGAAGACACTTTGCCAAAAGTTTACATCCGTTTAATGTGTACATAGCTCATTGGTCGCACTTATTCATTTTTGTTCACAATTCTTACTTCATAACACTCAGCTCGTCGAGCTGCCAGATTTAAAAAACAAATCGAGTTTGAAAATATTTCCTTTCCGAGATTCCTAAATAAATGTCATTTTATTTACCCGTATCTTATAGATGTGATAGCTTTCCTGAGACGACAGAATAAAATAAACCGAGAAATTCTGTACATTTTTGAGGTATTTATGTATTTCACCATTGTGCTTCAAATACATTGTACTTCAATCGGTGAAAATTAAAATACTCAAAAAGAAATATACAGTTACTGTACCATCATTATCGAGGGGCTGATGGCTTGTTCAATAAAAGATGACAGTTAACCAAGGCCAAAAATAGCCAACACCAAAGAAACATATGAATATTGTTTTCACATTTCTAAATTGAAATTCACAAGATAGTGGGAAAATGTAAATATACATCGGCTCATAAATGGTATTCAGTATCTAATATTGAAAATGCGTTATTTGTCTTTATCCGGATTCTACTTTGAAAATATGAGGTTGAAAAAAGTCTTTTGTTTCCTGAGATTTCCTTAGACCGTTGACTTTAATTACTTCTTAAAAATGATTTTTTGAATCCAATGCATATACTTTAAAACATTTGTATAAATTCCGAATTTTCCCTTTTCTCCACAACCTTCACCATAACTGGTGACACCGTTAACATACCAGCGTGTGTCGTTACTGTTAGATACAAAAGGACACAGTAGTGGCCCTCCACTGTCGCCGATACAAGAGTCTATTCCTCCTCGTTTGTACCCGGCGCAAAGCTGTGATCGAGTTATAGTAAAATCAAAAGCTTTTTGACATTTTCTTTTCTTGACTATCGGCACGTCTGCTTCTTTCAATACGTCACTCCCTGTCAAACTCTTGCTTTGTGTTCGACCCCAGCCAATGGTCTTGCAAATAGTCCTACTTGAAAGTCTTTTGGATTTCACCGGAAGGCACGCATATCCGCTGATATTAGAAGTTCTTACAGGCGTATTCAATTTTAATAATGCTATGTCATTCATTACAGCTTTATAACTAAATGAAGGATGAGGGAAATATTTGGAAACAGTGTAGTCTTTTTCTGTCTTTTCCAATTTTGTGACGTCATGCTCGCCCACGCGCACAATTATCTTCCGTGTTTTCCCTCGTTTACGTATACAGTGAGCCGCAGTGAGAACCCAGTAGGGCGCAATCAGTGTCCCTCCACAAAAGTGTTTCTTTCGTTTGTTCAGTAGTTCAACCTTCAAAAAGGAAAATCGAAACATACACAACCATTAATATCTACATCTTTCTTGTAAACTAAGAATCGATAAATCAGGATTTTTTTATAATCTTCAAACGTGAAATGAGTTACAGAAAGAAATACATATCTCTGCGAAATTGTCACGGATTTGTTTTTTGTCGACATATTATGAGAATATGCTGACATATGTGCAGATTATGTCGACATCTTTTAGAGTATATGCTGACATATGTAACTCGTTATCGATCACAGAAATATAGAAATATGCCACCACCAGTTGACAAGACGTTTTTCCGAGTTACTTCCCTTTAGTCAATGACATGTGCAATGTTCCTTCCATCTTGTGTAAAAAGTAGAGATTTAAACATATTTTATTGCAAATAAATATTTACAAAAGAATTGGACACAAGTTTTACAAACTTATCAAAGTCCTTTTCTTCAAATACATGAATATAAACAATAACTTGATAAGGTAATTTACGCAATATACATTAATTATGTTTTTATATGGAAATGGAAAATAGAGACGAAGAAAAGAAGGAGAGCGAAACGAAGTAAAGGATAGTAACACAGATAGAGTAGATGAAAAATAGAGTGGAAGAAAAGACGGATAGAGTAATGAAGTAAATGATAGTAACACAGGTAGAGTCGGAGAAAAAAAAAGAGTGATAGAGAGAGAAAGATAATCACATTCAGTCAAACCTGTTGCATTTGCTGATATAATTTTGGACAGATTTTGCAATTGAGGTATTTACATTAATGCTGAATTTAGGATCGCCTTATAGGAGCAAGTCTTAAGTTAAATCATCACGAACAGGTTGAAGCTCTCTTTTTAATAGATTACGATGCTGGGTGTATAAGGGACAGACACAAAGGAAGTGATAAGAGTCTTCACATGGACTACCGCATGCACATTCAGCTGTATTTGATAAATTTGCTCTAAATAGGTCATAGTTAAGGGAGCTCGCACGATTTCTCAAACGGCAATGAAGTATATTTGATTAACGGGAAGCCCATACCAGAAAGCATTTATTTTGTGGTTTACCTTTTGATTTTATATTTGATTTAAATGAACTGAGAGAAGCCGAATTCCTTATAGATATATCTAGGTCATTCCACATTTTTGTAGTTGATGGGAAAAAAGAATTTCGCATTGTTTCAAGCCTAAAGTTTGGTTATCTTAAATGTTGGGAATTTCTCGGGTTATAACGAGAAATATTCCCAATGCTATCTGGTAAGGTGTCACACAAATAATTAGGAGCTGTACCGTTTTTAATTGTAAAGAATAGGGACAATTTTCTGTTTTTCCTTCTATTACTTAGTGGAACCCAGCCAATTTCATTAAATATATGTTCAATTTTTGTGTAAATAGGTAGTCCTGTAACAATTCGTGCAGCATCTATCTGAATGTTTTCAAATTTGATGAATTTGTCATTCCACAATTGACCCAGACTTCACATGCATTCTCTAATAATGGTCGAATGTACGTTAAATATAGTTTTTCAAGGTTATTTCTACTGAGTAACCATTTCATTTTACGAAGGTCTGCTATATATATAGCCACTTTTTTTGATAAGTTCGTCTACATGTTTATTCCATTTACCGTCGCTACTTAGTATAACTCCAAGTTGTTTGTGGCTATCTGTTAAAAGGATAGAAGTATCGTTAAAAATAAATTGGGGTTGAAAGGGTAGATTTGTATTAGAAACAATTATGATTTCGTTTTTTTTAGGATTGAAAGACATCAGCCAATTTTTAGACCATTTCTCTAGAGTTTTTAGGTCTTTATTTACTTCACTTACAATATTTTCTTGGTTTGGTGATGAGTATGAAAGCGACGTATCGTCAGCAAAAAGACGAGATAATGAGGAGAGTTCGGTCGAAATGTCGTTAATATAAATCAAGAAGAATAAAGGGCCTAACACTGAACCTTGGGGAACACCGGCGTTTATATTTCTTACAGAAGAATGAGAATCGTGAATAAAGACGGATTGCTTACGCTCAAAAAGATAGTTTGTTATCCAATTAAGAAGACTGCCTGAAATACCATGTTGTTGAAGTTTGTATAAAAGCCCTCTATGCCAAACTCGATCGAAGGCCTTTGAAAAATCACAAAAAGTAAAAGCTATATGTTCATGGTTTTCTAATGCTAACATCATAGAATGGTACATTTCAATGAGTTGATGCGTACAAGAATGATTGGGTAAGAATCCAGACTGAAATTTGTAAATAAGATTATTAGAGTTAAATAAGTTGTAAATATGTTTATAGACTACACGTTCAAAAACGTTTAAAAGTAGATGAAGTATAAGATCGAAATTCTTTATTATTGATGCGTCTTTTTTTTTTTTTTTTTTTAAATATGTGTTCTCAAATATCATTTTTTAAAGACCAACTCAAAACTTTTGGTTTAATGTCAAGCGTTATCATTTAAAACTTCACTTCGCTTTGATTTTCGAATTTAAAAAGCATTACCTTGTTGTTATATGATTAAATCACTGATTAGAAAGAAAAAAAACAGTATCATATATGAGGTAATCTTCTTGTGTTTTGGTGCACTTCAAAAATCCAATCCTTGAAATGTTAAAAACTACAAGAGTCCTGCGATTTCTTTGTATGGATACTGGACCGATAGGTCATAAACTGTACGAGAGTCATGAGGTTTCTGTGTATAGATACTTGACTATCCCGAAAGGTCATAAACTGTTTGAGAGTCATGGGATTTCTTTGTATAGATACTTGACTATCCCGATAGGTCATAAACTGTACGAGAGTCATGCAATTTCTTTGTATGAATACTGGACTATCCCGATAAGGCATAAACAGAACGAGAGTCATGCGATTTCTTTTTATGGATACTGGACTATCCTGATAGGTAATACACTGAACGTAAGCCATGCGATTTCTTTGTATAGATACTGGACTATCTCGATAGGTCATAAACTGTAGGAGAGTCATGCGATTTCTTTGTATGGATACTGGACTAACCCGATAGGTCAGGAACTGTACGAGAGTCATGCGATTTCTTTGTATTGATACTGGACTATCCCGATAGGTCATAATCTGAACGAGAATCGTGGGATTTCTTTGTATTGATACTCGACTTTCCCGATTAGTTATAAACTGTAAGAGAATATTTTTAAATATGTGTTCTCAAATATCAATTTTTTAAAAACCAACTCAAAACTTTTGGTTTAATGTCAAGCGTTATCATTTAAAACTTCACTTCGCTCTGATTTTCGAATTAAAAAGTATTACCCTGTTGTTTTATGATAAAATCGCTGATTTTAAAAAACCCAGTCTCATATATCAGGTAACCTTCTTGTGTTTTGGTGCACTTCAAAAATCCAATCATTGAAATGTTAAAAACTGTACGAGAGTCGTGCGATTTCTTTGTTTGGATACTGGAATATCCCTATAGGTCATAAACTGTACGAGAGTCTTTCTATTTCTTTGTATAGATACTGGACTGTCCCGATAAGATATAAACTGTACGAGAGTCATTCTACTTCTTTGTATAAATACTGGACTGTCCCGATAAGATATAAACTGTACGAGAGTCATTCTATTTCTTTGTATAGATACTGGACTATCTCGGTAGGTCATAAACTGTACGAGAGTCATGCAATTTCTTTGTATAGATACTGGACTATCCAGATAGATAATAAACTGTACGAGAGTCATGCGATTTCTTTGTATAGATACTGGACTTTCACGATAAGTTATAAACTGTACGAGAGTCATGCGATTGTATGGATACTTGACTATCCCGATAAGCTATAAACAGAACGAGAGTCATACGATTTCTTTGTATGGATACTGGACTATCCCGATAGGTGATTAACTGAACGAGAATCGTGCGATTGTATTGATACTTGAATATCCCGATAGGTTATAATAAACTGTTCGAGAGTCATGCGATTTGTTTGTATTGATACTGGACTATCCCGATAGGTAATAAACGGAACAAGAGTCATGGGATTTCTTTGTATGGATACTTGACTATCCCGATAAGTTATATACTGTACGAGAGTCATGGGATTTCTTTGTATGGATACTTGCCTATCCCGATAAGTTATAAACTGTACGAGAGTAATGGGATTGTATGGATACATGACTATCCCGATAGGTTATAATAAACTGGACGAGAGTCATGCGATTTCTTTGTATGGATACTTGGCTATCCCGATAAGTTATAAACTGTACGAGAGTCATGCGATTGTATGGATACTTGACTATCCCGATAGGTTATAATAAACTGTACGAGAGTCATGGGATTTGTTTGTATTGATACAGGACTATCCCGATAGGTAATAAACGGAACAAGAGTCATGGGATTTCTTGGTATGGATACTTGACTATCCCGATAGGTTATACTATCCCGATAGGTTATAATAAACTGTACGAGAGTCATGCGATTTCTTTGTATGGATACTTGATTATCCCGATAAGATATAAACTGTACGAGAGTCATTCTATTTCTTTGTATAGATACTAGACTATCTCGGTAGGTCACAAACTGTACGAGAGTCATGCAATTTCTTTGTATAGATACTGGACTATCCCGATAAGATTTAAACTGTACGAGAGTCATTCAATTTCTTTGCATAGATACTTGACTATCCCGATAGGTCATAAACTGTACGAGAGTCATGCAATTGTATGGATACTGGATTATCCCGATAGGTTATAATTAACTGTACGAGAGTCATGCGGTTTCTGTGCATAGATACTGGACTATCTCGATAGGTCATACATGTAAACTGAACAAGAGTCATACGATTTCTTTGTATGGATACTGGACTATCCCGATAGGTCATTAACTGTACGAGAGTCATGCAATTTCTGTGTATAGATACTGGACTATCCCGACAAGTTATAAACTGTACGAGAGTCACACGATTGTATGGATACTTGACTATCCCGATAAGTTATAAACAGAACGAGAGTCATGCGATTTCTTTGTATGGATACTGGACTATCCCGATAGGTCATAAACTGTACGAGAGTCATGCAATTTCTGTGTACAGATACTTGACTATCCCGATAAGTTATAAACAGAACGAGAGTCATGCGATTTCTTTGTATGGATACAGGATTATCCCGATAGGTCATTAACTGTACGAGAGTCATTCGATTTCTTTGTATGGATACTGGACTATCCCGATAGGTCATAAACTGTACGAGAGTCATGCAATTTCTGTGTACAGATACTGGACTATCCCGACAAGTTATAAACAGAACGAGAGTCATGCGATTTCTTTGTATGGATACAGGATTATCCCGATAGGTCATAAACTGTACGAGAGTCATGCGATTCTTTGTATAGATACTGGACCATCCCGATAAGTTATAAACTGTACGAGAGTCATGCGATTGTATGGATACTTGACTATCCTGATAAGTTATAAACAGAACGAGAGTCATGCGATTTCTTTTTATGGATACTGGACTATCCTGATAGGTAATAAACTGTACGAGAGTCATGCGATTTCTTTGTATAGATACTGGACTATCCCGATAAGTTATACACTGTACGAGAGTCATGCGATTGTATGGATACTTGACTATCCTGATAGGTAATAAACTGTACGAGAGTCATGCGATTTCTTTGTATAGATACTGGACTATCCCGATAAGTTATACACTGTACGAGAGTCATGCGATTGTATGGATACTTGACTATCCTGATAGGTAATAAACTGTACGAGAGTCATGCGATTTCTTTGTATAGATACTGGACTATCCCGATAAGTTATACACTGTACGAGAGTCATGCGATTGTATGGATACTTGACTATCCTGATAAGTAATAAACAGAACGAGAGTCATGCGATTTCTTTTTATGGATACTGGACTATCCTGATAGGTAATAAACTGTACGAGAGTCATGCGATTTCTTTGTATAGATACTGGACTATCCCGATAAGTTATACACTGTACGAGAGTCATGCGATTGTATGGATACTTGACTATCCTGATAAGTCATAAACAGAACGAGAGTCATGCGATTTCTTTTTATGGATACTGGACTATCCTGATAGGTAATACACTGAACGTAAGCCATGCGATTTCTTTGTATAGATACTGGACTATCTCGATAGGTCATAAACTGTAGGAGAGTCATGCGATATCTTTGTATAGATACTTGACTATCTCGATAGGTAAAAAACTGTACGAGAGTCATGCGATTTCTTTGTATGGATACTGGACTATCCCGATAGATCAAAAACTTTACGAGAGTCATGCGATTTCTTTGTATTGATACTGGACTACCCAGATAGGTAATAAACTGTACGAGAGTCATGCGATTTCTTTGTATGGATACTGGACTTTCCCGACAGGTGATGAACTGAACGAGAATCGTGCGATTGTATGGATACTTGACTATCCCGATAAGTTATAAACAGAACGAAAGTCATACGATTTCTTTGTATTTATACTGGACTATTGCCGAAAGGTGATTAACTGAACGAGAATCGTGCGATTGTATTGATACTTGACTATCCCGATAGGTTATACTATCCCGATAGGTTATAATAAACTGTTCGAGAGTCATGCAACTTGTTTGTATTTATACTGGACTATCCCGATAGGTAATAAACGGAACAAGAGTCATGGGATTTCTTTGTATGGATACTTGACTATCCCGATAAGTTATAAACTGTACGAAAGTCATGCGATTGTATGGATACTTGACTATCCCGATAGGTTATAATAAACTGTACGAGAGTCATGGGATTTGTTTGTATTTATACTGGACTATCCCGATAGGTAATAAACGGAACAAGAGTCATGGGATTTCTTTGTATGGATACTTGACTATCCCGATAAGTTATAAACTGTACGAGAGTCATGGGATTTCTTTGTATTGATACTGGACTATCCCGATAAGTTATAAACTGTACGAGAGTCATGCGTTTGTATGGATACTGGATTATCCCGATAGGTTATAATAAACTGTACGAGAGTCATGGGATTTGCTTGTATTTATACTGGACTATCCCGATAGGTAATAAACGGACCAAGAGTCATGGGATTTCTTTGTATGGATACTTGACTATCCCGATAGGTTATAATAAACTTTACGAGAGTCATGGGATTTGTTTGTATTTATACTGGAATATCCCGATAGGTAATAAACGGAACAAGAGTCATGGGATTTCTTTGTATGGATACTGGACTATCCCGATAAGTTTTAAACTGTACGAGAGTCATGGGATTTCCTTGTATTGATACTGGACTATCCCGATAAGTTATAAACTGTACGAGAGTCATGCGATAGTATGGATACTGGATTATCCCGATAGGTTATAATAAACTGTACGAGAGTCATGCGATTTATTTGTATTGATAATGGACTATCCCGATAGGTAATAAACTGAACAAGAGTCATGCGATTTGTTTGTATAGATACTGGACTATCCTGATAAGTTGTAAATTGTACGAGAGCCATGCGATTGTATGGATACTGGATTATCCCGATAGGTTATAAACTGAACGAGATTTGTGAAATGTTTTTTGCGGATTCTGGACATGCATAATTTCAAAACAGATTTTCAGGATATTCCTGAACTACCAAGTGACAATCTACATCTTAACAACAGTGTACCGCCTTTAATTAATCAAATAAACCGTGAAACTAGTCAGTTATTTCGGACTAAGCGAAATATCGCCAAAAACCTGCCGGATCAGATGTTTTATTTTCAAACGTTCTGTATCTTGAACAATTTTTGTTTGTTTGTAAATAAACAAATGTTAATGAACAAACCTGCCAGGGCCAACTGTTTGGGGAGGAATATTGCCCTCCGACTATTTTGAACCGCCCGGATGTACCAGTAGGTCTCAGACCACACGAGAGTTGGAGGCTTTCTAACGTGATATTCGATGCAGCAACTGAAAACAAAGAACGATAATTGTTTGGTGTATAGAATTTTAGAATGCACACATCGTCCGTTTGTGAGAAATATGAAGATTTATAAACCAGTACACCCTAACATTTCCAAAATCTGTAAAAGACTATACTTTACAAATCGCTATAGGAATCGGATAAGGTTGCCACCGAATCGACTGCAGAGACGGCGTTAGCACAGGCCATCTTACCTTCATGCTTTTGTCTTTCCTTTTCCTCGTCCGGGACCTTGAACCTGTTGGTGCTGATAATGTAAGACCCGTGACATGTGTCGTTAACGATACGGCAGTACCTCTCTTCCTCCAGATAGCCACTACCGCACACATCCGTAAACTTACATCGGCGACGACGCCTCTTCTTGCACGTCCTCGAACAAGCTCCCCATGACGACCACGGCTTGTAGAAGAGGTCATACAGCAAATCTTCTTTCTTTCTGTTCGATTTAGTTGATCCTATGACCTTGTACGTCACTTCCTTACATGGACCACTCTTTCTATTACAAGGGCGCTTTTCGCGGATGCGCGAGTGTCCACAAAAGGTAGGAAATCGACACTTCCGCTTCCTGGTTTGTTGACAGTGGCGATTACAGCGCGTCCAAGACGACCACGCTGTGTAATAGTCACAGAAAATGTTATTTTCGTCTGCCTCGCCGAAGCCATCTGTCACAACTGTTTCAGTCGGGGACGTTGTGTTGTCTTTTCTCGTCATATTTTTAATTCTGTCTGTTGATGGTTCCGTCGTCTGAAAAACACAAATAGAAATATATTATTGAAGCCTGTCAATATGAAAAGAGACGTTATTGAAATAAACCAATGAGAAACATATACTCTTTGTCAAATTACATGTTAAGTATGCAACACACCGCCTCTCCAAGATAATCAGATATAAAGAGTTGGGTGAACGCTTCGAATATTGTTTTTGTATTGCATTGTGAAAATGAACAAATGGTCATAACTCTAAATTTTGCTGGGTGTCAGACCGAATTATAGTGGGGGACATTGCGTTTTTCCAAGACACTTGATAAGTATAGGAAACCAGTGTTCCGGACACATGTTCGTGCCATAACTCTACATATAAAAGGGTCACCAGATCTGAACTTTAGTAAACGTACAACGTAGTTGAAATAGCAAGGGTGTAATACTCCGGAGAGAAAATAAATGACGCACAGTATGGCAGCCAGACAGACACTCAAGCAGACATTGGTGGAAATCCGCGATTTTTTTTATATACTAGGAGAATGTTCAGTTCCTTTACAATTTCAGTCGAACAAAACAATTTGGAGGGGAGGCGCTCATCTGTTTTGATATCTATACATGTGTATATGGCGGTATTGATACTTCAAATTCACTAACCATGGTGTTGACCCGGAACCAATAACACACACGGGTCATAGCAACATCACAAAGGTATTCATATTGTAAAGTACAATTTCCAACAATACACACGTCAATTCTAGGGACACTGTAACTGGTTTTGTACATTCGAACTCATTAGTGACAAAGCATCTACATATGTACCTAGTCGAATCTACATACATGTATGATATTTTTAAATTCGCAATGAAATTATTTGGCCCTTTGTTTGGACATTTCGTCGTTCGAACTTTTGCTGGAATATTCACCATTTTTCTTTTTTTAACAGCTCTAAAGAAACAAGTAAAAAAAAAAAAAGCTTAATTACTTGGAGAGAACACCTTTGATACATACATGTAATATGTACATACACTGCAAATTAATTCATAAAATTACAAACATGTACTATATACGGACGATGGGTTCTGTGCAACGCCCTTGTCTTGCCTATTAACTACACTATGATTTCAGATATCTTCGAACCTGAAGTAGTTATTGAAATTATATAAGCGGTGTCATTTCTCAAAAGAGTACAGACCAAGAATGTTTCACTCATCATCGAGCTGAGTCTGAGCATACATTTTACTGAAAGTATCAATTTGTAGCGCAAATCTTTTTAATGTGTCGGTCATTTAGAATCAAAGAAGTATTCGACTCTATTTGTTAATTAAAACGAATATATAAATATCGTCATATACAATGGACGAGCAGTATATAACGACAACTCAATGCCTTACTACAGAACAGGAAACGGAGATCAAAAAGTAGAATGCTACACTGGAATGGACAAGGAGGAGTTGAAAAACTACCGCCCAGTTTCAAATCTGCCTTTTCAGTCTAATATCTTGGAGAAGGTTGTATCCCGGCGTTTAGAAGTTCATCTCCATGACAACATGCAATCGGCCTACCGCATGGGACACTACTGAGACGGCCCTCCTACGTGTACATAGTGATATAGCTTCTGCATTGGATAACAAGGACAGAGCGGTGCTTGTCATGCTGGACTTGTCAGCTGCATTTGACGTCATCGACCATGGCATACTTTATAAACGTCTGGAATACTCTTATTGAGTGACTGATACCGCACTATGCTGGATACAGTCATACCTGAGTGAACGACGACAGTGTGTTGCCATCGGATCTGCCACCTCACATGACAAAGTACTAGATTTCGGGGTTCCTCAAGAGTCGGTGTTAGGACCACGAAATATTGTATGGTCGTCGCCATAGCCTTCGCTATCATTGCTATGCCGATGACACACACATTTACATGGTCATAAAACCACAGGACAGTTGGAATACAGTCTCAGAAAGTCTGGAACCTTGTCTGACAGATATCAGTATCTGGATGAACGCCAACATGCTTAAACTTAATCAGGAAAAGACGGAACTAATCGTCTTTTCCCCAAAGTGTCAGCAAACAATGGCTCTCCAGCTCAAGGTTGGTGCCAGAACTATTGAGACTGTTCCAGCTGTTAAAAACCTAGGGGTATACTTTGACAGTTCTCTGAACATGGAGAAACAAGTGAACGCTATTGCCAAATCCTGTTACTACCAGATCAGGAACATCGGCTGTATTCGGCAGTTTCTAACTGCAGATGCATGCAAGATTTTGGTGCATTCACTTGTTACCTCTCGGTTGGATTATGGTAACGCCCTGCTCTGTGGTATATCTGACAAACTAACTAGTCGTCTGCAGAGGGTTCAGAACACTGCAGCACGGCTAGTTACTCGTACTCGAAAGAGAGAGCACATCACACCTGCGCTTTATTCGTTGCACTGGTTACCTGTACGATACAGGTCGCAGTACAAAATTCTGGTATACACATACAAGGCACTGAATGGAACAGCTCCTCAGTACCTACAGGAACTTGTTACCCTGTATCAGCCGTCAAGATCACTGCGGTCGGAGTCAGAATCTTTGTTGTGTGTCCCAAAATCTCGTACTGTGACCTACGGAAACAGATGCTTTGGGAGGGTTTCGGCTACGTTGTGGAATAGTTTACCATCTGCTATTAGGAAGTCAAATACCCTGGCCAAGTTCAGGAGGGACATACAAACTCACCTTTTCACGTCTGCATTTTAGAATCTTTGCAAAGACGTCATGTAAATACCACCCTTTTATTTGTTCAATTATGTTCATATTGCTTGTTAAATGTATGAACGTGATTGCAAGCCTTTGTTGTTTGTTTTCACAATTATAACCATTACTATTATCCATATTAGAGTAATTTTACAAATTATATAGGGCGCTATATAAATGCTGTATATTATTATTATTATTATTACTATGGTAGGTGACAATGTGATCAATATTAAATAAATGGTCACTGAAAATGACAACTCAAAGTAATGTCATTTAACAAAGTCCGCAATCTTCCTGATTCTTGTGTCAATACATCTCCCCATTCAAACAATGAGATTTGGCAAGCATGGTCGATATAAAATACACAAAACAAAATTTGTTCTGTTCTCCCCATTTAAGCGAGGAGTTTTGGCAAGCTGCATATATATTCATGTATGTTCAATGTTAAAAACAAAAATGCCCTGTTCTTTCACACAAGTAGAACAAAACAAATACAGTTCAACATTTTCTAGTATAAACGTACCAAGGTCCTTGCAGTTTTTTTTTAGGTCAGGTCAAATACTTTAAGAATAACTAAACAAACAAAATAAAGTGAAACGATCGCGTGTCATGTCAATATATGTATTAACACTCAAGTAACAAATCTATCCTCCTCCCCCCGAAACGCTCTTTTGTTTGAACATAACTCCAGTGTTTGCAGTCATAACACGATTTACAATTTTGTTATCGTAAGTCTTGTAACGTTATTGCATGTGTGTCAATTTCACTGTGGAGGCGTGGCAAAGCAAGCTACAACGACCGGTACAGGTACAATGTACAATGAACAGTGTGACAGAAAAAACGTAATACTTACTACATTGTAAACGAGACGGGCGGAATGAGGTCAGTGCCATATTTTATTATGCATGTAACTATTATGTCATTAAACCAATAAGCTTGTTTGTAATTACCGTCAGCTGTAATAGCATTATAAGAATGGTCGCAGTGATAAATTGAAATAATTAAAGGACGAAAAAAGTAACTGGTATATGACAATACAATTTCAATAAATGTTCACCTTTCAAGACAGTCGTTGACTGTGTGATATTTTTGTATGTGTTAGGTTGAGTCTGGTCCAACGTACTTTTACTGTAAGACGCTGCTTCCCTCTTACCTATATTGAGTACATTCAGTATTCACAGTTATCTAAATAGTGGAGTGTGTTTTGTAGTGAGCTTGTTTTCTGTCCGACATGAGACTATACATGTACTCATGCCGCAACCGAATGAAATCATATTGTGCCCATTTCATATAAAAATACATGTGAAATTAATATTGATTGATTTTTTCTTCTGTGCCAAAAAACATTTTGTTTGTTATTTTCACACTAAACCTACAAATCAGATAGCAAAGTTAAAAACTATGAAAAATAACCAATGCCGATTGTGATTACATTTTCTGATTGTGACGTCTGTTACGGCACGATTTCTCACCTCGACACGATTCACAATATATATATAACATTCTTTGTCTCAACAATTTTTGTAAGTGCAAAATGAACTATCTGTTCACGCTATCCATGTCTTTAATTAAAATAAAAAAACAAATCAACTGAATGTCCTCGGTTTCTTAAGAAATAACAGTTATAATTCATTAGAGATTTAAATTTTCCACACGCTCACTAAAATATCACAATCTCCAACCAACTCATCACTCTTGAAATACCAGCGGTGTTCATCAGGAAACAAAGAATATTCCAAGTAGACGTGTTTATGACATTATAATCTACTAAGCTCCACTGCCCACCCTATGGTTCCTCTTTATAGTGATGTTCAATGTAACACGTATCAACAATTATAGTGCAATGGGTGACCACTATCATTTAATAAAAGCCAATCAGGTGGGCTTTTATAGGATAGAACCATTTTTTCAGCGAGTGTTGTGTGAAACATCTATCTTTATAAAGACAGACTACCCATATTACTTTCGAACTAGGGTATCTAGAGCACATGTAACTCGGGCTTCTACATTCTAGACAGAAAACAGCTTTAGTCGAGACAAATGTGCCCTTAATTGCAGTTTAAATATTAATTATTCATTAAATATTAATTCTAAAACTATTTTAAAGATAGAGAGAACATACAACACAACTGGCCTCCTTGCTGTTCACTCCATCATTATTATCACTATAAGAAATACAAGTATATAAACCAAATTACTCTATCAACAAATTGGATTACATCCTCGATACTCCAAGGGTTACGCTCACTTAAGCCCTCTGCACCCCTGTAATATATCATAGCAAAATCAAAAGGTTCAGTGCG